TTTTAGAGCGTCAGTGAATTAAAAAAAAGCAGTATAAAAACCGGAATGTCCAACTGATGAGGCTGAAAATTTTTTCACTTGTTATTTACAGTAAGATAAATACATTCACCAACTTTTATTAAAATAAAACCATTTAAACTGGGTGTTCGGATTTATATGTCACTTAGTATATTTAAGAATTCGAGGATGTATGAGGAAAAAATTGAAGGCTTGCTTTCTACCTGGCGGTGGTCATTTTGTACAGTTTTTGTAAATTAAGAAGCTCTACAAGTGATTTTTGGTAATAAAAACGAAAACTTCGATTTTCGAAAATAGTCAAAGTAGAACAAAATAGTGAGAATAGCCCCGATGTTGCTTTGAGTATTTAAGAAAATCAGGAATGACAGTCAAATAATTGTTAATTTCCATGACTATTGTGATTTCCTGGTGAGGATTTATGGAGCAGTGCTTTTGTTTTAAACCGTCGAAGCCAGCAGTCCAACATACATTCCTTTGCAAAACACAAAGTACTAAATTACGTATTTAGAATTTATCGGATACATTACTATTTAAAGTTAAATTAACTAAGTTGGCAACTCTCAACTTCTCAGCGCCGCTGTTCTTTAGTGACTTGTTTTGCACGTTAACTTTACGATGCAAAAAACTTAAAGCCTTTCTTTTATCTTTAAAGTAACTTTAAACAATATATCCTATGATATTTTCTCTGCGGAAGCTTTTCTGTTAAATATAGCTAAGTGACATGTTGTTGCGGATACAGGGGGCGTTAAGAACTGCTTTAGTTTTTTTGTTCTTAATTCCTAATCACAAGCTTTCCTTGGAAGTATCTATACGGATCTATTGTAATTTTAAAAATAGACTCGTATACTAAAATGCGAACCCAGGGAAAAAAGGTTTATAACCATTAAGTAAAATACCGAGCACATATTTGTATTTCCTAAGGTGCAGAGTAAAGACACCGGCGGACCGTCGGCGATCTAACTCTCTTCTACCGCTACACCAATGGACTTTGCTCCTCAGAGCTCTCCTCCATGCTGCCGCCGCGCGATGTGCCTATCAGACAGACCCGCCTGACTTTGGCCTTTCATCGTAACCGTGTCGAACTTTGTACATCTAGAAATGGCTAATACGACCGCCCCTTTGTTCCGAGGGTGTCGAGATTCTGGAACAATAAAAAAATGCCTGCACGGCTGCTTCGGGGTAAAAAAAGGGCCGTTCGGTTAGTCCAGAGTTCCCCAAACTTTTTTTTGTCGTAGACCCCTTGCCATGTTTTTCCGTGTTGGGTAGACTCCCTACTTACCTACCTGATATTGATTTCCTGTAAATTTCTAACTGTAGTGAAGTTTAGTGTTAAAAACTTAAAGTAAAAACACATGTTAATTTATACATTTATTAATTGAATTTAAATTAAAACTACTCAAAATAAAATTTTGTATCTGTTATGTAAAATATAATAACACTAAATAAACAGGTGTTTGAACAATAAGTGCCCGCATTGGGAATAAGTGCCCGCATTGAAAAAAATAAGAGGGATAAAAAAAAGTGAAAAATAATAAAAAAAAAGTTTTTTACTTAAAATAGTACAATAAGCGAGTTCGTTTATTAATTATAACATAAACGTATGTTCTACAATAATTTCACTGTTAGTTTGATTAAATTCTGCTTCTTATACGTTTAAGTTATCTAAAAATAGGCAAAAACTTAACGAATTTTAGTGTGTACCTATCCTTGAAATTTCAGAATAATTAAAAAAAAATATTTTCTATAAAGGGGGGTTCTTTAAAAAAAATCAATGCGGGCACCTATTCTCAATGCGGGCATTTATTGGTCAGACACCAATAAACATAAAATAAACTATAAATAAAATAACATAAGCAATAAGTCAATATTTTTAGTGAGAAGGATGAACCTGATGCTTTAATAATAAATTATCAACATTTGGCGTCAATTTTGTAAGGTTTAATTTTAAATCTCCTCGGCTAATGATGTCCAGTCTGTTTCTTTTTTTCGTTAGGAGATTGGTAACAGCGCTGAACCCCCTTTCCACTAGGTATGACGATGGAAAGGAAATTAAAAATTTCCTCGCTATATTCCATAATACGGGATAAGTAACGGGTATGTTGTTTTGCAGCCAGAATTGCTGATCCGTTTTTAAACTGAACCTTAAGTTCTTCGTTTGTACTTAGTTCAGTCAGTTCCTCTTGTATTATGACATTCGTTTCTTCTATGTCACCATATGGATTAATTATCCACGGTGGTATTACCATAGTCAAAATATCCTCAAACCTAGATTCAAAATCTGAATAGAGGGCATTTTAATGTTGAACGTAAGTTGAACCGGCGTCTTCCTGGCAGCTTGTCTGTGACAAATTGGGGAACTGATAAAATTCGCCCCGTCCAATATTTTGCTTCATTAGTTTAACTCTGGCAAGAAACGCTGATAAGATGGACTTTGTTTTAATCAAATTTAAACTGTCGCCTTGTAATTGCAAATTAACCATATTAAATTTTGTAAACAAATCTGTTAAATAGGCGATGTCTGTTTTCCTCTTCATCAAATTTTCTTTTAAAATTTTATCTTTAGTATCCAGAAATTCTAAAATAGTCTCAAAAAGTGCAAAAAATCTTGTCAAAGATAAGCCTTTCGACAGCTAGCGTACTTCAGTGTGAAGGAGTAATTGATGAAAGTGTTCGTCATTTTCTTCACACAACTGCACAAATAACCGCGTATTCAACGCGTTGCTTCGGATTCGGTTTACTGCATCAATGACTAAATGAAGTGATTCATGCAATCTAACACTCAAATTTTTAGCGACTAAATGTTGTCGATGGATGACGCAATGTATTGCTAACACCCCTGACACATTTTGTTTTAAATAGCTTATAAATCCACGATAACGTCCAACCATGGCAGGTGCTCGATCTGTAGCTACTGATATTATATTTGATAAAGGAATTGCTTTTTCAATAAAGTAATCCTTCAAAACATGAAATATTGATTCACCTTTAGTGTCGGTTATCAAAGTTCTTGCGAAGAGCAGTTCTTCGTAGATTTCTCGATTCATAATAAAACGAACATGCCAATAATAATGCTGCATTATCAGGTATAGTTGACTCATCCAGTTGTATAGAGAAATAAATGGGTCGTTTTCAAATAATTACATAAGAAGCTTTCAATATCAGAACTCATTTCATCAATACGTCTTTCAACAGTATTGTTGCTTAAGGGAATTCTTTTAATGGTATCAGATGCAGGTTTGTGTAAAACAGTTTTTAAAACCTCTTCAACGGCTGGCAAAATTAACTTCTCTGCGATAGTATGCGGTTTTCCGGATTTTGCTATAAGTAACGAGATATTGTAAGACGCGGACCCCCATATTAATTTCATGGATCCCCAAATTTTTTTTCGCTGACGTAGACCCCTTGCTGGTTGTCATAGACCCCTATGGGTCGATATAGACCACTTTGGGAATCAATGGGTTAGTCGTTCTAAGGTGAAAAACCAAAAAAACTCAAACCTACCCATTCGAGAGGTCCAACTCAGCTCTTGAAAGTCTTGAATCTGGAACATTCTTAGACATATCGTAACATGAATTACCACAATTATTTCAAAAACATGTTTCGAGAAGAGATGCCGTTTAAACATCCAAAATATACGATTGGTTGTATAGGATCTGTTTGTGTCTCTGGATCGCAACAAATTCTGCAACATTGCATCATTGGTTCGCTTCGCAATACTGCATCTCGTACATCCTCAGTCAAGGTTTCCACATTCATGATCATAGATGAGCGATTTTCGCTATCCCAAAATGTAACAATAACTCAGGATGTGTTGATTTTAGCACCATCGGTCGAAATCAAAGATGATTCTGAACTATATTAAAACAATAAGTCGCATCAAAATTGAAATAAATAATTCTAATCAAAATGAAAACAAAATATTAAATTAAATGTTCGAACAGACCTCCTCCCTGGGTTTGACAGTAACCTAATGTATTGTAGAAGCCTGTGTATTTTCTGGGTTAACATATTGGCAACGCGGCAGATTGCACGACCTGCGCCACCGTTGCTAGGCAATGCGGCGATGACCTTCGCTCTTCAGCCGGATTCTCTCTCTTTCTAGCATGTATTGATACACGCTTCTCTCTCCTACACATTGAACTCAAGCCTTCAGACAAATTCGGTTCTCCCTGTATGGAAGGTTTTAAAGAAAAATACGTTGTTAGTTTCAAGGTAAAAAGCAACGCCAAAACTACTCATTGCCCTTTACACAAATGTTCAAGTAACTGAACATGTGAAGCTTGAAACGTCATCTCAAAACTTGAGGAAAATCCCCCGTCTCGTTTTTGATCTGTTTGGCTTGAAAGCGCATGTCTTACGACGTATTAGGCAGTTTTGGCATTGGCAAATACCGCATACCTAAACGTGAAATATCAGATTTCTTACATTTAAACCATCGATTCTGTTGTATTCTATCATTCGGTATTGAAGCAAAGTACGGCCTACGTGCAGTCCGATTTTGTTGTTGCTAAACGAGTTGTATGTCCTACATAGAAAATAAATTTCGTTAGTGACTGTCTCGTTGTCCTTCCTCGAACCCTTTTTACTTCCTGTACCAATAGGCGAGGAAGTATTTAATTGTGGATGTTATGTACATTACGAAAAACTATGTCACTCATTTTCGGCAGTCTGTCTGTCCGATAATCTTTGGACCGTCTATAACTAGGTAAATACCGCTCTGATTTGGATGGCATTTCCACAAAAGGTCACTACTAAGCCAAGGACGAATAAGCCTTGTGAGTTTTGAAAATTTGTCCAGTGACGGCGGAGCTAGGGGCAAATGCACGAAAGGAATGAAAATCGCCCGAAGTTCGTTTTTCGACGTGTCACATGTTCCTGACCATTTTCAGAAAAAAGGCTTGAAATATTTATACGCTTTCAACCTCGGCAATTCTTCGCATCTTTTAGCCATATTAAAATATAAAAAATAGCCTACGAGTTATATAGTTTGCTACAAACTTATTTGTAACGCCTACCGTATTTTGATAATTATCACCAGTCCTACGACATTTAAAATTGATTTGTTGAGAAAGTGTACATCATAAGGAAGAAATATACCCCTGGGAACATTGGTGAGGTATTTGCTCGCTTGCATATCAGTTTCGGCCATTTTGATCTTCAGAATCTGACATACAATTTTTGACAATCAAAGTCACGAGAAGTTAAAGTCAGAGAAGTCAGAAATCAGGTAAAAGTGCTGTACTGAGTGTTACTCTAGATAGAAAGTCGAAAATGAGCAAGAAGAAACAGAAAAATGAAGAAGACGGTAACAATCAAGTGGATAGCCATAAAATTATAGTCAATAAAAATGAAAATAGGAACAGCACAAAATCAAGAAATTCGGACGATAATCAATAATGACAAAAATACGGAAGCAGCACTTAAACAAGAAATTAAGTCACAAAATTTTACTTTATTTTTGCTGAAGTGACAGGTAAATTATTTAGATATATTTTTGATAACAACAATGGAAACATTTTATTAGGATTTGAAAATATTATCGTTTATGACAACAATATAGTATCACAATGTAAAAAATGCTTAAGGTTTAATCATTCAAGGAAAAAATGTCAAAATTGTTAAGTATGTTCAAAATGTTGAGAAAACCATGACATTTCCTCCTGGAATCAATCAACCACCAAATGTTGTAACTGTGTCTGCCAACCATAAGTACAACAAACAATATGATACAAATCATGATCCAACTGATAAAAAATGCCCTACTTTCAACTTCTTCCAACAACAACACATGTCACGAGTTTTATTTTGAGAAGTGGATCTTATATACAAAATTAACTTCTCTATCTGGTTTTGCCTACATGTTGGAAAAGTCTGATTATGATATTTTAGCTCTATCCGAAACATGGCTCAATAAAAAAATCTTAGATAGTCTTTTGTATATTCAAGGATATACATTCTATCGAAAAGATAGGGAGAGTCGCGGTGGAGGCGTGGGCATTTACGTGAGAAATGGTTTGCTCTGTGAAGAATTACAGATTGAGAACCATATTGGCTACTTTCCTAGTGTTGAGAATATGTGGATTAAATTGAGATTATGTGGTCAAACTCTTGCCTTTTTGGTCATTTTCCGACCTCCTCATAACAATGTTGAAGCCATTGATTTTTTTGATAATGCTCCCTATTTTCTGGTACCCAACTTTGATTATGTTGTAGTTGTTGAAGATATGAATATAAATCTTTTAAGTTTAGACAACAAATTAGAAAATTGTTTTAATGCGTATGGATTCCATCAAGTTATTATAGAACCCTCTAGAATAACTAGTACTTCGAGCAGCCTACTGGATTCCATATTTATCAATGATCTTCAAGTCTGTTCAAATTCTGGGACTATAAATATGGATTTATTTACCGATCATTTTTTAGTATTTTGTGAAACAACTTTGCAGTCTGGAGCATTATATATTCCGTAGAGAGTATTGATCACAAAATTTTATATTTGACAGATGGGCTAAAATTAATTTTTGATAAGCATGCACCTCTAAGAATTGTACGGATAAATAACCGCATGCACTCTGGCTATCATCCCAGCTTAAACGTATGATGAAAGACAGAGACAGAGCTTTAAATTAGTTTAAAATTAATAAGACAGAAGATTCCTGGAATCGCTACAAAGAGCTCAGAAATTCAACTTTAAGTCAAATTAGATATGAAAAAGCAGCATATTTATTATCCCTCCGTCAACAAAATGATTCAAAAATGTTTTATAGATCCTTAAAATCAATCCGTATCCAACAGTCACAAAATACCGATATTCCTCTACATTTAAAGAACCCTACTGACATTAATAATTATTTCTGTTCCATTTTTAATAACATTTGTTCATGCACAGAGAAGATTGAGCATTATGAAAAGAATCACTAGTCTAGTGATCGATTGAAGTTTAAACCAATCGATATGACTGATTTAAAATCGATGTTCCTGAAATCGAATGCCTTAGGAAGTGATGGCGTGTCACTCAGAATGCTAAAACTATGCTTCTTTGCGATTTCATTTTACACATCATAAATACCTGTTTACAAGGGGATTCTCTCCAGAATCATGGAAAGAAGCATTAGTGTTACCTCTAGCTAAAATAAGTAAGCCAAAATTATATTCTGATTTAAGACCAATTAGTATTTTACCTGTTTTGTCCAAATTATTAGAAAAAGCAGTGTACGCCCAAATTCACGATTATCTCTCTAAACATAAAATTTTGCCTCCCAAACAATGCGGTTATCGAAAAGGATATAACACTGCGGGTGCCCTATTAGACTTAACCGATAACATTGTTAGAGCCTGGGATCAACATATGACCACATCATTAGTTCTTCTTGAATTCTCTAAGGCATTCGATACCATAAATCATCGTCCTCTAGTAGCCAAGTGCAAATATTTTGGTTTTTCTGACTCTGCCTCAAAAATGATTCAGAGCTTCTTAGGAAATCGATATCAAACGGTACAAATTGACATGGTTCTATCTTCAAAGTGCCTCATTTCCTCCGGAGTGCCTCAAGGGTCTGTACTTGGGCCACTCCTATTCATTTTATATATTTCTGATCTCCATTCAGTTGCTAAATATTGTAATATCCAATTCTTTGCCGGCGATTCACAGATGTACAGTCATTTCCATAATCACGACATTCGAAATGCTGAATCTGAGGTAAATGAAGATATAAATCTATTAGTATGTATGCAAAAAATCATAACCTTCAGTTGAACCCTTTAAAATCGAAAGTCATTTTTTCACCAAAACTATTTAGAAGTATGCCAAAAGAAATTTTGAAGTAAAATTAAATGGTGAGACTATAGAAGTGCGTGAGTCAGTGAAAAATTGGGCGTAACTTTAGATGAATGTCTAAATTTTATACCACATGTAAATAATATTAGTAAGAGTTGTTTTTCAATTTTACGTCAATTATATCGTAATAAACAATTTCTTGACTAAACAACTGAAAAATTTTGTGTGAATCTTTGGTAATGTCCAAAATTATATAGTTATTGCGTAGTTATCTTCCATTTCTTGACTCAATATCTCTAGCACGTCTCCAAAGAATCCAAAACTCATGTTGTAGGTTGGTCAATAATTTGAAAAAATATGATCATATCAGCCCTTTTTTCAATGACATGAAGTGGTTGAGAGTAAATGAACTGTGTGAGCTACACCTAGTTACTTACACCCACAGGCTTTTACTGTCATCTATTCCGCCGTTTTTGAGAAATACATAAGCTGATATCTAGAAGCAATATTCATTCTAGGGACATTCGATTCACTGAAACACTCACAATGCCCCTCCACAGGACATAATTCAAAAATATTTCCAATATAACATTCCTTTATCTTGTATGACTGTTACAATTTTGTACTTATATATGTTATATACCATATTTCTTATACACCTACATTTTTAATCTTCTAACTTATCAAATGTATTTATGTTTTTTGTATCGTTTTTTCTTTTTTGGGTAGCATAATGCTAAACTTCGCACCCTAAATAAAGACGATTTATTATTATAATTATTATTATTATTATATTTTACAGATCATAGACTTGAATGATAGAGAAATGTTTTGGATACGCATACTCCTGCTGTCTGAGTTCACCGCCCGGCGTACGGGTCCAGAAGACTAATCTGTCCGTACAGCAGAGCACAAAGCGGAATGAACGCCGCGGTGGAAAGGAACAACGTTGCCAGATGGACAGTAACTACCGATAGGGCAGGAAAATAATGTATATGGACTATTTCTATGGGCCCGTTTGACTGACTTGATCCATTTAATGTCTCTGTTGTACCTGACTTTTTTCTCAGAGGATTTAAATTGATGACGGCGTTGCGTAGGAAGTGTAGATATGCCATTTTTTATATTTCTACGCCTTTCTAGACTGTTCATATTAAATCATAGCAGTATCGGGGATAATGACACGCCATCAGCGCGCAGCTTGAAAGGTTCAGTTTCAGCTGCAATATATCAAACGGCCGTTGCCTAATTGGTACGTCCAACGGCCAGTGACACCTGTCTATTCTCAGAAAACGGGGAACAACGTTCGTTGATCAATAATTGCCTGGTGAAATATTCAATAATCTAAAAGTCAGCGGTCACGATACAATAACGCTACGGGAATCGGAATACCCCGGACAGTCGCTGACGAAAAGTGGGACGTCCACGTGAATTATGGATTATTTTCTTCGGCCACGGTTACTTATAATTAGAAAGATAAGTTTTGCTTAATATCCCACAGATTGGTAGTGGGACCTTTGAGTCTCTTCTATGAAGGTCCCTTCACACTGCCTTTTTATCAATTTTACTTCCCATCCCAACTGGGTGGAAGTATTGTAATCGCAAAAAAATTGAATATGAGATATTATGTTTTTACAAGCCTTTGATTAACTTGACCTGTTTGTTAGTATGAGTATCCGACCCAATGAAGAAAACACAAAAATTTTGTAAAAAAATGTATTTATTTTTCAACATAATCTTCTTTGAGCTCTATACACTTTTTCCAGTGATGTTCAATAAGTTCGATACCCTTTTTATAATAAGAACTGTCTTGCTCCTCAAAATAGCTATTAACTGCCGACATCACTTCTTCATCGTTGGAAAATCTTAGACCACTGAGCCATTTTTTCAAGTTTGGAAGCAGAAAGTAATCCGAGGGGGCTAAATCTGGTGAATAGGGTGCATGAGGTAGCAATTCAAACTTTAATTCGTTAATTTGGCCATGGCAATAACGGATTTGTGAGCTGGTGCATTGTCTTGATGAAAAAAACACTTTCTTCTTAACCAAATGCGGCCGTTTTTGCTTGATTTCATCGCTCAAATGTCGCAATGAGTTCGCATAATACTCGCCGTTGATAGTTTTACCTTTTTCAAGATAGTCAATGAAAATTATCCCACGAGCGTCCCAAAAAAACCGACGCCATAACATTGCCTGCCGATGAAACGGTCTTTGCTTTCTTTGGAGCCGGTTGTCCCTTTTGAGCCCATTGTTTTAATTGTTCTTTTGTCTCGGGTGTAAAGTGATGGACCCATGTTTCATCCATGGTTATGAAACGATGAAAAAAGTCTGCTTTGTTGCTGTGAAACTTCGCTAAACACTCAGTTGAAACATCATCACGACACTGTTTTTACTCGATTGTGAGCAATCGCGGCACCCATCTTGCACACAGCTTTGTCATGTCCAAATTTTCAGAAAATATGCGACGGACAGCACTTTTTAAAATGCCTACTATGTCTGCTAACTCGCGCACTTTCAGTCGACGATCATTCAGTACCGCGTTGTGAATTTTCTTCACCATTTCTGGAGTCGTCACCTCATTTGGTCGACCACTGCGATGCTCGTCTTGGCAGCTCATACGACCTCATTTAAACTCTGCTACCCAATAGTTTACTGTTGTAAACGAAGGAGCAGACTCACCCAGAGAAGAATCCAGTTCAGCTTTTATATTGGTTGGGCTGAGGTCTATGAAATAAAAGTATTGTACCACATAACGATGACCAATATTTCTGAAGTCGTCACTGCGATGCTCGTCTTGGCAGCTCGTACGGCCTTGTTTAAACTCTGCTACCCAATATTTTACTGTTGTAAACGAAGGAGCAGACTCACCCAGAGAAGAATCCAGTTCAGCTTTTATATTGGTTGGGCTGAGGTCTATGAAATAAAAGTATTGTACCACATAACGATGACCAATTTTCTCCATTTTCACAAATTCACTGAAAACGTTCAGTACTGATGGCTGCCAAACAAATACTAAACAACGTGGCGTCTCCATACTTGACACATATGCTTTATAGGTTGCATACTTTCTAATACAATGATATTTTTCAACAACCATCGC